GAAAAATTGATCAAAACACAAAGAAATTTGTGAGCAAATCAGAGAAATTTAAAATACAGAGAAAATTTGAAAATAGAGAGAAAATCAGAGAAATTGAGCAAATCAGAGAAATATTTCTCTGTAAAAATATTGAGGGACCTCAACTACGATGAAAATATTTCAATATCTTTTAAACTATAAAATCTTAATATGAGACACCTTAAAAAAAATTCTCTCCAATTGAAACACTGAATAATAAATGCATTCATGTAATGAGTTACTAAAAACAGAAACTTATCAATTTAATGACTTACTAAAAGTAAAGACTTATTAAAATTAAGACAAATTAATATATTATTAAATCTACCTTAACTAAGTGTCCGAGGACAAATTTACAAAATAATTGTTCAAATTATTAAAGTAGAACTTATTTATGACGAACCTCTCGGCGCCTCGAAACTGGAGAGAATTTCTCCATTTTTTTAATATCCACCGACCATAGCTGTGGAAGTTGGAGTTGGGTCCTGATTCATTGCAACCTTGAAAGCAAGCAATTCATGGAAGGGCTTTGCTAGAGAGCTCTTAATTTGAGCTGCTCAAAAGTAGCTCTAATGAGCTGTCACCCTTTAAAAATAAAAAATAAAAAACAGAGGAAGGTAAAAGACAAAACAGGAGGGGAAAAGGACAAATTAATGCCCCTTTAGAGCTCCAATTTTGAGGTCTCACTCATTTCTGATTCATGGAAAAGAGAAGAGAAAGTGTAAATTATTTGGAAAAATTACCCCAAAGCTGACCTTATTATGTATAACTAACTTTTCTTTATTTTTAAATAATTTTTGGGAGCAGCTCCCTAAGCCTAATTTTTCTTTAGCTAAGTTGAAAGTATTTAGAATTAATCAAAAAAATATATTTAATTTAGTTATAATTGCATATACACCCACAAAAATGTCTCTCCCTTGCTCTGCATAATCAGCTGTTTCTATGCTCATCATGTTCTTGATTATTTCATTTCATTCTGCGCTCTACAAATGTACCCTTGCAATGGTGATTGGGTGCACAGTTCAGTTGGGTTCTTCTTTTTTAGTCCATCCACAGATGGAGCTTAAATCAGTTGTCGTTCAATTGAGAACTTTGTTGTAGCTTTCTAGTAACAAACAGTAGCTGTTGAAAGTCTCAAGAGTTACATGTAATTTGAAGTGTATATCATACAAAAACTTCATCTCCATATTGTTCATCTCTGCTGTGCTCCCTCCTCCCACTTTCGCATAATACCCATTGTTGTAACATCTAGCATAAAATAAAATCACATCACTTAAAAAACAAACACTCAAGCTAAAATACACTTACAGTCTTTAAAATATGTGCTCTGTGTTACTTGGACCTTCAAAGTTTATATATTATCAATTTCGTACTTAAAACTTCTAGAATTGAGTTAAATTTATCTAATTATATCCTATTGTCAAAATCATTAACAGAATAGTCATAAAATTCAACTAATGGTTGATAAAGTATGTGTTCTTATTCATTTAAGTTCCCAAAGTTCCAATTTCGTTTGACAATACTGTAAGGTTATGTTTCGTCTTCTTCATTATTGTTTAGGGATCAAAGTGACAAAATAAAAAATTTTAAGAATTAAAATGACATGAAACTCGTACATATTTCATTATATTTTATTAACAATTTAGACGTTTTGTTTGCAATTGGATTAATTTAACTCAAATTTAAACTTTTAAGGATGAAAATGAAATATTTAAATTTGAAGGAAAATGAATGACAACAACAAACACATTGCTGACGAATATCATACATTCCCTTGAAGCCTAGCGATTTCAACCGGAATCTTGATAAAGATACTAGTTCAGATGCATTAGCCACAGCTTCAGTAGCTTCAGATTTAGCTTCTTCAATTGTCAAGAACAGAGCTTCAGCTTCAGCTGCATTTATATTATATACATAAGTAAACAAAACACAAAATTTATATTTTTTTTCCCTTACTAATAAATTGTAAGTATCACCATAGCTGCATCTCTCTTATATTATAAAAATTATTTGTTTTGATATTATTAATGATTTTATATATATATATATATATATAAATTGAGTCTAATTTTAACAAATTAATTAACTTTGTTGCACTAAAAAAAGAAGAAAAATTGAAATTCATGTGCAATTCGAATTTAACTCAGGTCAGGTCTGGGCAGACAATCTCGGGTTACAATTCAAGTTTGGACGGATTTAGATAACTCTCAACACAACTTGGGCTGAATTTGGATAACCTCTCAATCCCATTCGAAACTGCCTTAGTTGCATGCCTAATATTATTTAGGCATAATTCACTTGACCTGGATGTGATTTAAGTTCGATGTGATTTAAGTTCGGAGTAATTTACCTTGCTATAATTCAAAAATAAATAAGAACGTAACGTAACTCCATTAATAGAAGTTATAAAATTACCATAATAACTCTCTACTTTTATCTTCTGTTGTTATAGATATAATTTTTGGAGACTTACTTGTAGGTCTTAATAGATGAACTTATTATTCAATAGGTCCTATAATAATTAATGACGTTTTTCATCAAATGCTATTAAAAAAAGTCACAAATTGTTAATTTTCAGCTACAATTTGGAAACTGTCACAAAAAAATTCACTAATTATAAGTTTTAGCAACAGTTTAAAAAAAATTGTCACAAAAAAGTCACTAATTTTCAACTTTCAACAACAATTTGAAAAATTCATCACAAAAAAAGTCACTAATTATAAGTTTTAGTGGGGATACTTAGTCTAACATCCCTCTCTAACTTTTAGAAATGGAATAGGTCCACAATATATTTTTTTTTGTAGCCTAAGGTCCCTCACCCACACTTATATATCACACCTACTTTCTCTCTCTCTCTCTCTCTCTCTCTCTCTCTCTCTCTCTCTCCATCTTCTCTCCAGATTTGAAGTAGTCAGCGCAGCAATGCTGTTGGGGTGGTGGTGCGTGGTGGATGTGCTCGTCGTTGCCTTTACTGCACCCTTTTTTTTCTCTCCATCGCCTTTCTTCTCTCTAGATTTGAAGCAGTCAATGCAACAATGCCATTGGAGCGGTGATGCGTGATGGATGTGCTCGTTGTTGCCCCTACTTCGTCGTCTCTTTTCTCTCCATCGTCTTTCGTGCAGGTAGAGGGCTATGGAAGAGGAATACTTAGTTAAAGTCAGAGGGAAGGCTTTTGAGGTGAGAGATGTGTTGGTGAACGGCGGCGAATGGCAAAGAGCGAACTGAAAACACCACCACCACCACTCACTCCGATTGATTTTAGTTTCTTTAGGGTAAAAGTATGAGCTTTGTTCACTCATTCAATGGTGTGTTTGTTGATTTAAAATTTTAAAATGTATAGCGATTTGAAAAATTTATGTTGATGTATTGGCAATAGCATTTCTTTGTTTGAGTAGGCAGAAGAAACTTTTAGGATTGAAGAAACTTTACCTCAACAACCATAAGATGACATGAAACCTTAACCCAACAAAAGCACCCCCTCTCTCTTCTATACCTTTTTTTTTTTTAAATATGTTCAATTTCCTCTGGTTTGTTCAAAACACAGAGATAGAGAAAATTGTGAGTAAATCAAAGAAATTTCAAATAAAAAAAAAATTGGTCAAAACACAAAGAAATTTGTGAGCAAACCATAGAAATTTCACAAATTTCTGTGCTTTGAAATTTATCTAGATCAAAATTTCTCTGGATTGAAATTTTATTTGGAAAAATGTTGAGGGACTCCAACCACTATGAAAATATTACATGCCCTTTATCCTATAAAATCTTAATGCGAGGGACCTTCTTGAAAAAAATTCTTCGTTGTAGTGATAATTTATAAAAATCGTGACAAAAAAAGTCACAAATTATCAATTTTTAGCGATATATGCAAAAATCATCAGAAAAAATTATTTTTAGCGATGATTTTACTATGACTTATTTTCAATAGGATTTTACCATATAAGTTTTTAGAATTTGACCTTTATAAAAAAATAAATCTTCAATTTTTAATTTTGTCTATTTAAATCATAATTTTTTGATTTATTTTCAATCTAAACCATTCACATATTTCTGTCAAGTAAAATTAATGAAAAATACCATTTTAGTCATTAAACTCAATATAAGTCTATAGAAGATGTCTAAAACACCATTTTTCTTTGAGTTCAATAATTTAAATATCATTTTTTATTGATTTTATTTAATGAAAATAGATAAATAGTTTAAATTGAAAATAAATAAATAAAATTTTAAAATTTAAATTAATAAAATTAAAAATTCATATACTAGAGCTTTGAACTCATTACCATGGAAATCCACACTGGAACAAACGCCCAAAATTTTCAAAAGATTTCGGTGCCTTATGGCTCTTAGTGCTTTGCATTCTGACATGAAACTCTTAGAAGCTCTTCTGGTCTGAAGATTGAGCACTTTCATTGCAACAACCATGTGAACGTGATCAAGAATCCCTTTGTAAACTGAAGCATAGCTACCAACACCAATTAGATTAGCCTCTGAGAATCCATTGGTGGCTTTGAGAAGCTCTACATAAGAAACCCTCAAAAATTAATGTTTGATTGATGGCGTGCTAGAGGTCTTCTTTTTTGAAACATGACACTGTTGAAGAAATATAAAGAATCTAACAAATAGAGATAAAAATATCACAAGACCAACCACCAGTAGGATCACTTTCATCCTGTGAGATAGCTTGTTGTTGCTTGATTTGGGGGATGGACAAGGAGGAAGGTCAAATTTTGCAATACCTCCACATAGCTCATTATTTCCAACAATTGAAATTGCACTCCCATTTTGAAACACTCCTTGTATTGGAACTTCTCCATGTAACCTATTAAAAGATAAATTCAACACATCTAGTTGAAGCTCACCTAGATAACTTGGCATCTTCACTGACAACTTGTTGTGCGAAAGATCCAACAGTCTTAAGCCCCTCAACATTCTCAAACTTTGAGGTATCTCTCCTTCAAATGAATTGGCCTCCAACTGAAGCCATTCCAAGCTCAAACAATTTCTTAGAGTGTTTGGTATTGGTCCTGATAATCTATTATAGGACACATCCACGTGTCCAAGATTTGTCAAAGACCCGACTTCTGATGGAAGAGAACCAGTTAGTGCATTGTGATTTAACAAGAGGAATGTTGAAATGGAGGAGAGGCTCATAATTTCAGGGGGTATTGAACCATTGAGATTTTTTTGAGAAAGGGCTAATTCCAACAAGCTATGACAATTGCCCAAACTCGGAGTTATGCTTCCATGAATGTTGTTTTCTGACAAGTCAAGAATAATCAAGGAAGTCAAATTACCAAGCGAAGATGAAAGTTCTGTAAATTTGTTCCTGCCTAACAGCAGTTCTTGCAGCTTATGAAGTCTGCCAATGGAGGAAGGAATAGGGCCAGCAAGATTATTTGCTGCCATAGATACGAGAGTGAGGTTGAGGAGGTTCCCAATGCCTAAAAGAATGTTTCCATGTATTTGATTAATCTCCAAATTAAAATAGCTAAGATATGTGGAGAGATTAGCTACGGAGTCAGGCAATGAACCTCTGAGAAGATTGTTACCCGCATCAATGGATTGTAAACTGGTATAATTTGTTAGAGACGAAATAAAAGTGAAGTCATCCCGCAACCGATTTTGATAAAAAATATATATATATATATATCTAAGACCAAGAAGTTTTCCAAGATCCCTTGGCATTGTCCCGCTGAAATCGTTCTGAGAGAATTCTACTAATTCAAGCTCAGAAGCATTTGACAGTGAAGTAGGAAGTGTTCCAGTAAACAAATTGCCGAAAAGATAATGAAACTTGAGGTTAGGAAGGGTGGAGCCTATATCAGGAGGAATATTTCCTTCAAGTTGGTTAATACTTACTGACAACGCAATGATGGTGGAGATATTGTAAAGGCCAGATGGAACCTTGCCAGACAGGTTACTTAGTGCTATGACTTAAAGGGGTCTTGGTGTAAATAAACCTTCTTATAAAAAATCTGGACAACCCAACATTTAGTTATAATTGCATATACACCCACAAAAATGTCTCTCCCTTGCTCTGCATAATCAGCTGTTTCTATGCTCATCATGTTCTTGATTATTTCATTTCATTCTGCGCTCTACAAATGTACCCTTGCAATGGTGATTGGGTGCACAGTTCAGTTGGGTTCTTCTTTTTTAGTCCATCCACAGATGGAGCTTAAATCAGTTGTCGTTCAATTGAGAACTTTGTTGTAGCTTTCTAGTAACAAACAGTAGCTGTTGAAATTCTCAAGAGTTACATGTAATCTGAAGTGTATATCAAACAAAAACTTCATCTCCATATTGTTCATCTCTGCTGTGCTCCCTCCTCCCACTTTCGCATAATACCCATTGTCGTAACATCTAGCACAAAATAAAATCACATCACTTAAAAAACAAACACTCAAGCTAAAATACACTTACAGTCTTTAAAATATGTGCTCTGTGTTACTTGGACCTTCAAAGTTTATATATTATCAATTTCGTACTTAAAACTTCTAGAATTGAGTTAAATTTATCTAATTATATCCTATTGTCAAAATCATTAACAGAATAGTCATAAAATTCAACTAATGGTTGATAAAGTATGTGTTCTTATTCATTTAAGTTCCCAAAGTTCCAATTTCGTTTGACAATACTGTAAGGTTATGTTTCGTCTTCTTCATTATTGTTTAGGGATCAAAGTGACAAAATAAAAAATTTTAAGAATTAAAATGACATGAAACTCGTACATATTTCATTATATTTTATTAACAATTTAGACGTTTTGTTTGCAATTGGATTAATTTAACTCAAATTTAAACTTTTAAGGATGAAAATGAAATATTTAAATTTGAAGGAAAATGAATGACAACAACAAACACATTGCTGACGAATATCATACATTCCCTTGAAGCCTAGCGATTTCAACCGGAATCTTGATAAAGATACTAGTTCAGATGCATTAGCCACAGCTTCAGTAGCTTCAGATTTAGCTTCTTCAACTGTCAAGAACAGAGCTTCAGCTTCAGCTGCATATGCATCATGTAGTCAGTTAGGAATTGGTTAGCTAAGTTGTTAGGAGTCAGTTACATTGTTAGGAGTCAGTTGCACTATTAGAGGTTAGTTATCTGCTTATCACAACTGTTATTTTACCTTCTATAAATACAACCTGTATGTAATATCATATTAATAAGAAGAAATGAGTTTTCCACATGGTATCAGAGCTTCAAAGCTCTCATGAGCATTCTTGGGTTCTTGATTCCAGTTTATCTTCAATCATTCTTCAATGGTTTTCTAGAGCTTCAATCATCTTCAATGGCAACCTCAAATACTCTTCCCTAAAATCTTGGTCTCCTTATTTCAAATCTCAATTCCTTTATAACTGTAAAGCTGGATTCTTCAAATTTCATCATTTGGAGAAGTCAATTTCTCAATATTTTGCGTGCTACAGATTTGCTAGGGTTTGTTGATGGTTCTCATCCTTCTCCACCATTAACAATTACAAATGCAGATGGAACCACAACAGTTAATCCAGAATTTCTGCAGTGGAAACAAATTGATGCACATCTATTAAGTTGTCTTACAGCTACACTCACACCTATGATTTTCTCTTCTGTTTTGTATCTTCAACATAGTGCTGAGGTTTGGCAAGTTCTGTCAAAACGATTTACTACATTGTCTCGCAGTCATATTCATCAACTGAAAAATCGCTTGACTAACATGACGAAGACTTCACAGACAATTGAAAAATATCTGAATCAGATTAAAGACTTAACTGATCAACTTGCACTTGCCTCTTCTCCTGTAGATGCAGAAGATCTAGTTCTCCTTACACTGAATGGTTTACCTGAAGAATTTGATGCTTTCAAAACCACAATCCGAGCCAAGTCAGAAGCCATCTCTTATCACGCCCCCAAACCGCCCCTAGTAGTTTGGGTGCCGTGATGGCCAGTAATCCGAGATTACCGAAAGCCGACTTACAAAATCACACACAATCAGAGTATAAAATCTGGGGCTTACGAGTGCGGAAGCAATATATATATATATAAATATATACATTTACATAATCTAAATAGTCCATGAGAGCCATGCTTAAGTCCAATGAAATGACATACATCTTTACAAAGTCTTACAACTTAAATACAATAAGGAAATGAGATACAAAACACATCTTGACCAAAAGGCTTCTCAAGCCGACATATACAAGTACAAATGAAAAATAAGCCAAGAAGCATGATCTTCAAGATGGTACAAAAATGCTAATCCAAAACATGTCGGCAATGCACCCAAAAACACATCGGCATCACGTCTAGGCCTCAATGCCTTCTTGATCATCACCTACATATATATAGAGAGGGTGAGCTTGGATACTCAGTGAATGATATTAGAAATAAAGGTTTTGCATGATTGATATCCAAGATTTCTTTACAAAACAATACATAGTATACTTTACAATATTGAGAGAAAGGAAAATTACACATGGAAATCAAGAAGTTCATCTTTTCTTTGGATGGTGAATTTTTAATTTCTCTCATTTTTCTTCTATTATCTTTCTTATATCAATTTTCTTGTTTTGATTTCATATTATAAATTTGTTGTAATCTAACTAGAAGTGGTTAGTTATGCCACTTACATATTTCTCGTTTGCTCTTTTCTCGATGTCGTAACAAAACAGGTTTGGCTAGGCTTAGTTGGTCGGCCGGCTAATTATTTGGCTGCCTGGCTAACTTCTTCTGGATGAAACAAAACAGGCTTCCGGCGTTGAGCATAATGGTTTCCGGTGATCCTCAAGACCTACATCTTCTATTTTTTTATTTTTTATTTTTTTATTTTCATTTGAGAGTTTTGTAAGGGTTTTTTTTTTATTTTGTTGTAATATTTTCTTTTTCTCTCTTTCATTCGGATATGTAATTATTCAAGTGTTGTAATAATTTCCCACCCCGCTTATTTCTATCTCATTTTTTTTACTTGCGTTTCATCATATCCATGCTTTGCATCCATGTTTCATGCACCTTGATTCAGCTAAATTTGTATTTATGGATTTAATCAATTCTTATGTGATTATGTGTGCTATCTCATGTTCTTGAGATGATTCACAT